TCCAGTATTTTTCTTATCATCAGATTGTCCTGGTTCTCCAACAACTGATATAGAGTTTGTTAATATGGGTGATGTCCAAACCAGCATGACACTCCTAGTTTGTGTTACTCTCAGATTTTGAGGTAGGCTAGTGAAGTGTTAGGGGTTCTTAGGGACCTCTACTGATACAGTCTCCTGTGTCAAAGGCAGCACTCTAACCATTATGGTATTCAGCCATTTATATGGTTACTAAAGCCTGAAGCCCAGTACTGTTAAATAGATAACTAGCTGTGAAAGCATACACCAATATATTGACTAAGATTTTGTCACTATTTTCTTAGGTTTTTCATTAAACCACAGTGGAGAATATTTTCTGAAGGATAGACTGATGGTGTACAATAAGCTATTAATTGAATGGGACCCCCCCCACCAAAGACTCTGTTCTTGATCAATTCCTTTCTTCATCCAGATATCCAAATGAAAACCACCTGAATAAATTATCCATCTTCTGTGAACATATTGAGTGAAGGATAGCTATTAAAATAATATTGGCAGGGAGGAAGTTTGTTTGGATTACCTTATAGTATTAGTTATTCAGTGGGATCTCAGCCTTTTAAATATATATATATATATAAGTACTTCCCTTGGGATCTAGCTGTATTCCCTAAACTGTTTGCAAGGTGCAGTGAAAAGAAAAAACTGTCTCTCTACATTAGTTCCTGTCAAACTCCACAGTGCATTTGCTAAGATAGATAAAAAGCTGCCATCTGTGGATTTAGTGACAATAACTTATGCTTGCAGAAAAAAGTGAGTTAAGTAGAATTCCTCAGAGCTATAAAATACCATTAAAGGCTATTTAAATATCTCACAGCAATGAAGGAGCTGAAGTTTATATGGGTTTTCAAAGATGATATGTAGATGCTGCGAGGTGAAGGCTTATTCTTTAATTCCAGCCAAAAAAAATCTTAAAATCTTTGTATCTTGAGCTAAAAAGAGATGACTGATGACAATTTTTAACTTGTTTGATTTCCAGATGGACTATTTTATCCTTTATGTCAGAGGTCTTCAAACTTGGCAGCTTTAAGACTTGTGGACTTCAACTTCCAAAATTCTCCAGCCAGCATAGCTGGCTGGAGAATTCTGGAAGTTGAAGTCCACAAGTCTTAAAGCTGCCAAGTTTGAAGACCTCTGCTTTATGTGGACAGTGAAGGTTCACAAATTGTCGATTCTGATCAGTGGTGGTATTCAGCCGGTTCAGACCGGTTTGGGCAAACTGGTAGTGGCCACATGCCCTGGCACTATGCCGTCCTATTTAGCGATGTTTTCTAAGCTGTGTGCATGCATGCAAGCCATGCGCGCAAGCAGAGCTCATTTGCGGAAGGCCATACACATTCACAGAAGGCGCACACACTCACATGTTCAGTGCGCGGCGAACCGGTGGTAAAATTATGTGAAACCCACCTCTGATTCTGATACCAATATGTGTTGATTGTGACTTAGGGCACATTGATTAAATTGTAATCCCTGAGTTAAATAGTTTTGACTGCATGTGTTATTTTCACTATGGCTAGGAAAGTTCTACCAGATGCTTGTGCCTTTTCTTCTCATGGGAAAATTTGATTTAGAGTAATAGAGCACCATATTTACCCTTGAATCCTATAGAATAGCCAAAGAAAGTGAATCTTTGTTGATGGGAAAAAGTTGAGGCATGTGGATCAAGGGTGAAATCTAAAATTTGTTACTACCGGTTCTGTGGGCATGGCTTGGTGGTGGTGGTGGTGGGGGGTTAATGTGACTGGGTGGGCATGGCCATTTTTTTTTTTACTTTTAAAACCATTTTTCCTACAACCTCTTCACCGAAGAGGTTGTAAAAAATGCTTTCAAAAGGCTCTGACGATCCAAGCTAAGTTCCCTGAAAGCCTCTGCCGATCAGGGAACGTAGCTGGGATCGTCAGAGCATTTAAAAGAAAAAAAGGGTTTTTTTTCTTTTAAATGCCTTTGACGAGCTGCGTGATCATCAGAGGCTTTTTTTTTAACTTTTAAAAGCATTTTTTTTGGCGGAAGTTGTAGAAAAAAATGCTTTTAAAAGTAAAAAAAAAGCCTCTGATGATTGTGCGGCTCAGCTGGGCATGGGGGGGGGGGCGTGCGGCGGGGATTTTTGCTACCAGTTCTCCGAACCACCCGCCTCCATCGCTACTGGATCGGGCGATCCGGTCCGAACCGGGAGCATTTCACCCCTGATGTGCATGTAATGTCATTTGGATGTCTGTATATTTCTCTTATCTTAAGCATTTCAGTCTATGCTCCTTTTGTATCAAGATTGATCAAGATTAAATATAGTGGGGATACGGAAGCAATGGAACCTGGGGTCTGATTTGACTGCATCAGCACGGGGGAAGAGACAATAATGCACTAGTGAAAGAGGAAAGAATCAAGCTTGAAGCTTACCAGAAAGCAAACAGCTCACCTATTTGTCCTGGTAGATTACTTTTTTTAACACTCTAAAACCTGACATTTCCTGGGCAAGAAAGGCTATCCCTAAAGACTTGGAAAGCAAGAAGTATATTGAAGAGGCTTTATTTTACCGGGCATTTGTGGTTTCAAACAAGTAACCGAATTATTTCTCTCTTATGTTTTTGTCTGCCTTTAGATAGTTCAATTTTAGACTTCTGCAGGGAGGGAGAAAGGAGGAAGAACTTGGAGACCTATGGACTCTAATAATTATTGGAAGTTGGGGATTAGATCTTAAACAATAATATGAAAAGTACAAGACATATTTTCTAATAATATATTTATAATCAGTAGATTCAGGACATATACCAGATTGTATCTCACACACTACATATAATTAACCTGAGGAATTTACAGCAACAAAATTAGGTAATTATAGCTCATACACATGATTTAAAGTAAAAATAATCAAAAATTCATGGCAGATATCCAAAGCAGTGGTAGCTAAAAGTAACATCAGAGGAAATACACTCGATTGGAGACAAATGTAAAAAGGTCTTCAGTTAGATGTTCTGCTTGTGATCATCTAGCTAGCTTGAGAGTCATCTAGTTAACTCTTCTTGGAAGCAGAATTATGGATAAAAAGACTTGTGCCTGATTCAACCCAGCACTCTTACTAGTTTTGCCTGCACTAATATATATCATTTTGTCTGAGAGGAGTTACAGGTGCATCCAAGAAAGAAGGGAAAAAGCATATATAATAGCAACAAAACTATAATTATTTTGTAACATCAAAGGCATAAGAATGCTTTCTCAATGCAGGTTCTTAGCCTTAGCTTCTTGTTTATTAAGAGGGACTGCTTCAATCCACAGAAAATGTGTAAGAAGCAAAATGAAATTGAAATAAAAAGCAATTTGTTAAGTAACACTTATTGAAAGCTGCTGATCTTCCACTTTTCTATAGTGTATCAGCTATTGGGGAGTCCAGGAGTTGCGGGTGTTATTAATATGTTAGATCCATAAAAATAGCACCAATACAAGGGCTTGTTGAAAATTAGAACTGATCTTGATTGCAGTAACCCAGAGTAAATAGTGGGTGGGCCCAAAGATGAGGATTGCTGTAATGAAACTTTGCAGCCAGGGTATGCTAATTTTCAAATCATCAAAGTTCCCCCTTCACTTACTGTGACAACTCTTCCACAGCAAAGCACATAAAACCTTGGATCGTTTTTCCCCATGCTGTCTTAGAGCCCTATTTTTAGCCTGGTATTGTACATTGTATATTAATCACTTATGTCAAACCACAATGGATTGCTACCTTGATCATCTGCAATTCACATTCACTCCCAGTGTGTGAGCCTATTTAAATCTCCAACAAATTTTGGAATGGGAGAAAATAAAACTTCATTCATCATCGTTCCTTCTTATTTTATAGGTTCCTAGCAGATGAGGTAACGTGGGTATAATAGTTGAGCTTATCTGAGCAGCAGAAGCAAAGTTACATAAGATTGTTGAGCTTGTGCGTGACTTTTCTGTCAACATGACAGCTTTTTAAACACAGCAGTTGTCTTGGTTAAGAAGAAAAATCCTGTAGTGTTACCGAATCTATAGACCTGGACTGTAGTAAGGCTGGGTTTCCATTGAGTGATAATACCTTGTCTATTGTAATTGTTTTCAAATGATTACACTTTGTTTTTTCCTATAGGTTTTTAGTGTTCTCTGCTGGTTTTGTTTGGGGGTGAGGCTTTTGAGGTATCAGCTAATTCTGCAATTAGAATGGAGGAATGCAATCACACATGGGGGGGGAGGGATAGTTCAATGCAGACACCAGTGCCTCCTGAGAAAGATAATGTGGCACTGAAAATTTTCTATTCTTTCTTTGAAACCCATCATTTATGCCTCAGCTGCTTCTCTCTGCCTTTGTAACTGTTCTCAACGACTCCTGGATCATTTTGTCCTCCTCTGTGTCTCTGCTGAGGAGCCTCTTTCTCAACATTTACAACATGTCCAATCCATTTTTACCAGTGAGCAGGAGGATCAGAAGGAATGGGTGAATGTATCTACAATGGTACTGGCATCTAGAATAGCAGAACATCATATATAATGTTTATTTAAATGTATTATATATAATACAATAATATTATATAATATTTATTTAAACAAAATCATCTGTCAGGTCTTTGGGAAGGACCTGATTGGTAGATAAAAATCCCAAATTGGTTTGAACCTCTGGCTGACTGTGTGACTGATTATAGTAATAGTTTATTACATTAGATCAGACCATATAGTGTGCTACTCAGCTGTTCTGAGTAATCCAAAAACCATTCAAAAGGAATCCAACACTCACCCATCTCAGCTCTATCTGAATATTTACACATTTGGAAAGTTAAAAGTTTCATGAATATATCACGTTCCTCCCTGTAGCCCATAAAAAGGAGAACACATTTACAGTATATTTTAGAGACAGTAGGAAGCCAGAAATCTGTTGGTGAGTAATTTTGGCCTTTAGTTTGCCAGAGCAGACTTTTTTGTGTAATATAAGTCCTTTTCTTTTGTCTTTTTAATTTTAGAATCAACCTTGTCCTATGTTAGGCAGCTGGAAGCAAGAGTAAGACAGCTGGAGGAGGAAAATCGCATGCTGCCCCAGGTGGGTGATTTCTGTTGCTAGGCATACTAGTTTGTAGCTGAGGTCTGGAGATAGAAGATTAAGACTGATTTATGCCAGGGAATGGCTCACTGTGCTGTAGAGGAGATTGTGTGTATCTGAATGCTTTTTATACCTTTCATAGCTGGGAAGTTGAAGTGTTACCGTATTTCCTGTGAGTGTCAGCATCCTAAGTGTAGCCTGGCTCAAGGGGTTCAAATTCTTCATGGAGTAAGCAATTAGTCAGATAAGGAGTGATGGATAAAACTATGGAGCTGTAATGGAATATGTCATAATGCAGAAGCAGTAACTAGGGCATTTCAGTCAGAGGCATCCGATGATTTGTGGATTCATTATCTGCCCTCTGGAACTATGAAATACCTATATTTCATAGCCACTGAGGAAAAGAAATTGGTAAATTAGGGAGATAGACCTGCTTAGTCGTAAAATGATTATGAAGGTTAATTTATTAGATAGTCAAATTGCCCTAGAACATGTTTGTTACATGTGTTTTTGTATACATGTAGTTGAAACTCTACCATGCAATTCTTGCTTATGCAATGAAGAGTTGTATCTGGAACATATAATAGTCAGGTATTTTCTGTGTAACAGTTTTCAACCTTGTCATTTCAGTTATGGTCCAGATCCCTGAAAAATAACTGAGTAAAGAAACAATCATAAAGAAAAACAAGCATATTATGAGACGCAGTATTCTTCCAGTCTCTAGATTTTGTACTTGGGATACTGCTTTCCCTCAAATATGCCCATACAGCTATCAAGAAAAATGCATCCATAGCTCAAGAAGTAAAATCTGAGCTTAATAAAAAAAAGGCAGCTATGATGATTCAGGGACTATAGTATTCTGCTCAGAGTTCTCTTTGATCTTGCCTTCCTAAGAGTGAAGAAAGAGCAGGAGATATGGAAACTCTCTCTGTCTCTCTTTGTGTGTATAGACAACAGTTTCTTGTGGGTGTCTTTATTGAGCACTAATAGCTGTTGTTGGTCTCTGATTCACTTGAGACAGGGAGTAAGAACTATATGGGGGAGTTAAGCAATTAAAGCTCTTGAATAATGGCTAAGCATTAAAGAGAACATTCTGCATGTGCCCTCAGATAGCAGGATTTTTTTTTAACAAGCAGTGCATATTAGGACATCATGTGAACATATGACAACATGGAATGAACTAGGGCTAGATTGAATCTCACATTCTCAAGAACAATTTATATATTTCCCTTGTCATTATCAGAACCACTGCAATGGATAACAGCAAATTAGTATACTAAGTGGGGCTCCCTTTTTTCAGATTGTGATGAAGTAAGAACTGCTCAAATGCAAATCTTAATTTGTCTGGTTTTGTCTTGTTTTTACATAGAAATATTCATTTTAGAAAACGGAAATGTTGCAACAGACTACAATGTCTTATGGCAATCATCCACTTTACCTCTTTCCATTTAATGTCTCTTTAATGAGCACATTAGCATTTGTGCTTAGGGTAGTTAAGATTAAACTCTTTTTCATACTTCATTTTTTCAAGTGTTGATACTTTACTAGGAAAATCTCACTGGAGGTTGAAACCAGTTTTGCATAATAAATGTATGACTAAAGAAATCTGAAGTTACAAGCCTGCATGAATTCATCAGTCATTTTTCCCTAGTCACATTCTGTGGAGTATTTAAATGTTTGAGAAGTTATTTCAAAGTATCGAGACAATTGGTAGCCCTGTTTTAGAAGTTCAAATACAGGCCTTACACACATTTAATTACAGTATTATTTTTTGCAAAGTTTTCGGTTATATTTATTTTTTCAGTGTCTCAAGAAGGGATTAGTTGGGAACAGAACTTGAAGAAAAAAATGAAACCATTTTTTAGGGCAGACGTATAAAGTTGTCAGTTGTGGGAACTTGCTGATATAGAAGAAGGCTATAGTATCTTTCTTAGTTTGACAACAACTTCCTACCTCTTTTTTGTCTAGCATCTACTGAATTCTTAGTCAACAAGATCAGTGACAGAATATTGGCAATTGAAGTCCAAGTCACATCCAGTATATCAGTTAGGGAGAGGGATGTTTAACTCTATTATTTAAGGAAAATACTGTGTTTCAGAATACGTAAATCATACATCAGAAGCAAAGGGTCTGTGGACTATGGAACAAAAATGGTAGATGTCTTTTACTTACTTCAAAGCAGATTGGGAATCTTTGAGAAAAAACGGAGGAGTACCAATATTTTTGCTGCATAGAGTGTGCTGAACTTCATTTTCCATAACTCTATGCTGACAGGTAATTTTTAGATTCAGTCTAGACATTGCTTGATCAGAAAAATTGTGGTTGCCTTGTGAATTTGGGGGTGAAAAAGATTGTGCCTGTTCCTGCCACTCATCAGCCATACATGTATTTTAGAAATGTTCAGTGGGGATTGATTTCCCAGGTCAATACCTTTGAATTCCAAAGTACATAAGAATTAGGAATACTGATCTGAATTGTCATAGTTAAGTCAAAGCTTTTTACCAAGATACAGCAAGAAATGTAAGAAATATTTTTGACCACCTGGTGGTATGCTTTATAACTTACTGACATGACTGTTCATGTACTATATCATACATAGGTACCAAGTTGCATGGCATATATGATAAGCTTCCGAGTTCTTAGGAGAATTTATTCTGTTTTTAGTCAATGTTAGTTTCATATATATGCTATCCTTTCTATCCAGTTTGTTCTTCAGTATATTATTAAAAACACATACATGAACAAAGAAAATTTTTATTTATCTTATATGGAACTTTCTCTAATGCATGTATCTTTTTCCGTCTTGCATATTAGTATGGAAGTTTTCCCCGTCTATGCATTTGTATATGTGATTGTCTGGTTTTGTTTTTGCATGCATGGGTGCTAAAAATCACTGAAAGATTTTGAGATGTGTGCATTCTAAAGGGTTATTCTACATGTTATATAATTCAGGGAAACTGCAAATTAATTGAATTAAAATGTGATCGAGATATTTTCATCCTACCTTATACCATCTGTGGCATGTTCTGAATGTATATACTGCAATGATCGGCAAGGCTATAATTTAATCAATACTTAGGCTTCCAGTTTGTACAAGACAGGTTATTATCTAAGTTTATTTTGAATCACTGACCATAGATGAAAGATTAGAATCAATATTTTCTTGTAAAGTTTTAATCAGGCTGCTAGATCCTTCCTTCATAAATTATATCAAAATGCATTAACAGATGCACAAAGGCACAGATATGATCATTTTATGACACTGCACAAGACTTTGAATGTATTATAGTCATGATGTCTTGGAAATAGGAGGCTAATATGAATTTAGATGGTAAAGGAATGGTTCTTCAAGAATCATTAGTAATTTAGTCCTGATATCCACCTTCTGTTTTGGAGTTTAAAAAAAAAAAAACCTCCATTGCAATTTGTCTTTCCTTTCAGTTCCATATTTGTGATTAATGCATGCATTAAAACCTTTTAATAATATTCAGGTTGTGTATATTAAAAATGAATCTACAACATATTGCACCTCTGGTCAAAAAGCTTCTGACATGCTTGGCTGAGCTGATGTGATACGACACGTAGCGCATCATTCCTGAACAATCTATCTGCCCAGGGAAGAAAGCTGTCAAGATATTTGCCATTTAGTTTCTCTGAAGGGGAGGCAGAGTTTGTCATTATATCTTGAAATTAAAACCTCACTCAAAGCATAGAGAAGTAGCATTCTATGATAAACCTGTGGAGGTCATAGGATAGAAACCCCAGAGACAGAGGAACAGCACAGATTGGCACTAAACACAAGAAATGTGCCTGTCAGTTTTCATTTTTCACTCAGCATGTTATACCATGACACACTTAATATAGGGGGAGGGGCACATAGAAGAAATTGCAAGTGAAACCATATTTTTTAAAAAAAAAAAATCAGAAAAGATTTCATTTGTGTCCCCATTTGACCCCCCCCCCCGAATTTTCTTGTTTTTTAAAAAATCTCCTCACTCATTACAATTTCTTTTTGGTAATAAGTTTTTATTTTATTTTATTTTATAACTTACAAAAATCCCAATTTCAATCGAATAGTGTGTTGTCTGGGTACAAATCATTTTAGGAAATAATAATCAACGTATTTACAACAATATTCATTCATTTTTATCAATTATAATATTAATAATGATAACCATAGTATTTGTTTAATCAATTTAACATACCTTCTTTATATCACTAATCCTTCCATATATTTCCCTGTCTCTAGCTCCTGTTTTTGTCAGCTAACCATTGATAAAATAAGTCCCAAGTCGAAAAATATTCAGTTTCTTTCTTTTCCTTAATTATAAGTGTTAGGTTATCCATTTCTGCACATTCTAATATCATCTTTGTTATTTCTTTGTTAGTATAAATCAGGGGTGTCAAACTGGTGTCCCACGGCCTGGATGCATCAAGCCCAGGCTACGCCCACCTCAGCTCCACAAATGGGAAAAATGTCACAAAACATCACCTGATGGCAACATGACGTCACAAGTTTGACACCCGTGGTATAAATCATCTTGACTCATTGTAAAATCACAGTTTGAGTGACTATCAGAGATGCATGGGGCAAAAGTACAGGAGAAGAACAATATCAGTCAATGTATCAATCAATCAATCAATCAATCATAACTATGTTTGATCTTAGATAAAAGACCAAGAAATGGTGAGTGTATCAATTATACATTTCCAAGCTATGTAAAAATAGTTTATGCAGAAAGCTTTAGGATATTTGTATTTTAGTTTGTATATAAGAAATATTTATCATTCTTTTTCATAATTCTGTTTGATAGATTATTATTAATTGAGATCTCAGCGCTGTTTAATGGGATAATTTGTTGGGGGGATGGGTCATCTTTCTATCTTTTGCATTGTGTATTTTGGCTTGATTCTGATTTTTTCATAGTTGAAGTTGGCTTTTAACAGAATGATGTTCCTGTAATATAATTACTTTTTTGTTCTGTTCCTCCTGTGGTGGG